CGACGGTTCAGCCGGGAATCCAGGAACATTGGTATTTTAGATGCAATGCTAGTTCATTGATTGATGCTTGACGAGCTCCTTATGCGGACTCTAATCCGCCTTCTCCGGAAGCGAGACCGAAAGCACCTCCGGCCGCCGTTTAACGGTTTCAACGCGTAGGCCGAATGTACTTTAAGTAGACAGCTTCGGTTAAACGTTGCCTAATGGGCTTTGCTTACCAAAGACAAGTATAAGGGTTAGCTTGACAACCGCCGCGCCGGTAACATCATCCGAACTGCGGCTAAAGCTTGTTGTAAAGTCGCCGGTTGTACAGATGGCATGAACCTGACACACAGCCGTGACAGCTACGGTCAAATAGCGAGCGCTCATGGTTTACTCGGTTCCACTGACGGTAGGTACAGTCGCATAGGTTTGCCAAGTCTCCGGCTGCTTCACGCTAAAGTCAACGGGAAGAGGGCGTCGATAGGCGCGTGTACTCAAAGTGTACGACGGGTGAGATGTCCGAGGCTGGCGTTTCTATTGGTTGTTACAGAATTTGAGCATCATGATGCAAGTATAAAAGGCATTCTCGCTTCCATCAATAGATACAGGGCAAGAATATCATCACTGCTCTCCGGTGTGGTACCAAATCATCGCTTTTTACTTTCCAATCTTAGCAGCAAACCCTTCAAAATGCAGCCCGTCTCGATCCTTACAATTGCTTTCGCAGTCTTAACTGGGGCCGAAGCCTTTCGTTTGAGTATGCTTGAGCACAGAGGCCTGGTCATGGTAAGCAAACACCCAAAGCATGGCTACGTTTTTCGAAGATGTGCATGACATGGAGAAAAGACCAATCACTGACTTCTCATCTAGGCACCTATTCTTGCTCTTTCAGCACCAGTCATCGCATCTGAGCCCCTGGAGCCTAGGCGATGCAAGTCGATCGATCCTGCTGAGTGCCAACGGGACTAAATATGTGAGAAGCATATGCGCCTCAGGAACCCATTGATTGACTTGGGCGATGGCCCCTCAAATAACATTTTGGGCACTTACAAGATATCGTAAGCCAAAGCATTCAGTCGAGGAACAGAATTACAAGCCCATGTTGCTTCGCTCAAACATCTATTATGTACTTACAATCAATCTTCTCATTGGCAATGCTCCAGTGCTTATCGCCTCTTAGTCGTTCAAGCCTGCTGCTGCAATTTGTAACCCTTCTGTGTCAGTGCAGCCTAGTTATAGTGACGCATCTTGACATTTTCTGAGTTAATACTCTAAACTTCCACATTTCTCACTAAATGTGTTACCTAAATTTCTTGTCCATGTCGTCGTATATGCCCGTGACACGCGTCCAGGTCATCGACCGTGATAGTGTATGTAGTCGAACATCAACCGCATCTTCGAGGTCCTCAGTGAAATCAAAGCAACCTATAAGGCGTTCACCTTCTTGAGGTCCGTCGGAGTTACTTATGCACGTGCGTCCGTCTGCACCCCTCCTTAAATCAAGACACACAACAGCGGGGCCCTTGCTCGTTTCAACCTCCATAACCACGATACCGCTAGCCCTGAGGGTGCGCAAAGTCATCGTGACGTCGATAGAAAACCCATCTTCGCTTCTGCGGGTGAAAAAACGATTGAAAGGGCCCCGAGTAGTTAGAACTGCGTATGGATCGTTGACCAAAAGGTACTTCAGGATATCTTGCTCGTCGACACCTGTGATTGCGCTCAATGAAGACACGCTACCACAATACAATTGCCCACGCAAAAAGTCATACCATGGCCATTCTCGCACATAAACAGCCTTCGCAACTAAAATGATAAAAGCAGCCAAAACCCAAGCAAAAGTCGCGATATTGAATGGGTCAACTCCGGGAATACGCTCGCCAACAAGGAAAGCTGCCAAGATGCCACCAACAACGAGGATCCCACACACCATCATAGTCATGATGACATATGATCGTAACTTCAGAACGACAGCTTTATCTTCTATCACTAGGTTTCGGAGGAAATATTCGTTCAGCATTTCATCCTTTTGGGTATCATGTGTCTCTTCGACAGACTGTGCAGCTGATGGTGTGAAAAGAGATGAAGGAACCGGCGGAGGAGATGTGACAGTAGATGGAAAGAAGACTTGCAACCCTACAGCCGCCAAAGTCGCATCCGATCGAATACAGTCGCGGTTGCTTGGCGATTTCCCAACGAAGTATGAATTGTGGTTGAGCTGTGGCAGTTGAATGTGTTGCATGAAAAGCAGAGGCACCATGTACAATATGACCTCGGTCATTGTTTGCAATCTCTTGTGCGCCTTACAATTGCTGTAATGTCCCGAAGGAATGCTCAGGTCTACTGACGCATGCATTGACGACCGGGGATGGGAGATGTTGGGCGAATGTCGAACGGGATGATTTCTCGTCATCTCATAGAGAATGTGGTGGATTCCATGGACATATCGTAAGTCTGATCGTATGCTTGTTCCGCAGACACTTCCAAATTGGTCCTGACTCAACATGATAGGTACACCTCGCCATGTCCGGTAGACAACGTTTCCCATGTTGAATGCGTTGTTCGAAATTCCGGGACTACTTTCGCACTTGAGACTTTGGAACAAAGATCGAAGAATTTCCAGGGCCCCGGTTGAAGCCGAGAAATACTCGGCAAAGTTGGCAGTCTCAATTTTGTCGATTCTCATAGATCCCAATGCAAAAAGTCTGTGCCCGTTGACAAGGCTCTGGCTGGCAAACCCTTCAGTGTCGATGACGAGAAACTTCATCTTCGCAGTGCATCGGGCTAAAGATGTTGCCCAGACTGCGTTATCCAATGCATCATAATTCGCACATATCGCTACCACAGCAGAGACATAGTCGACTAGAAAGCAATAGAATCTGCGTTTCTGAGCTGCTGATATAGTGATTGTGGTCTCGGACGTCTCTGCTACCTTGCCGCCGCTTGTGTCCGCTCGTCGGTCTTCTGAGATTTCAGCCCTCGGGAGAGGAGTCTCTTCGCTGCGGGATGGGATGTGCTGGCACTCGAACTTATTGTCGAAATCGCATATCTCTATGTTCCTGAGAGCATCGCCGGCTACCGTTGACAAAAGCTCAAAGCCGGTGAGGTCTGGAAGACACTGATCGTTCGTTGCCGATATGAAAGGGTCTTGGGGGAAGCCTCTTTCTATAGCTGCAGCGAGTCTTTCGGTTTCAAGTTGCCACAACGCTGCCTGTTGGGCTTCGACCAACCCGTATCGAATGAGATCATCCAGCTTCGGATAGGTGAGAACAGATTCCGTGGCGCAATTTTGAATGTATGACTTTTGCAAATCGATGAAAATCCCACGTGTTGTCTCTGCACTGTCAAACTCCGCTTCCTCGCGCAGTGGGACTCCGGTTGACTCCTGGGCAGATTGAGCAGTTAGGCTGTCTGTCGTGAACCCTTCTTCGGATGTACTTTGCGGGAAAGTGCGTCTTTTCCGCCATGCTAGTCTATGGGGCTGTCTCTTGGGCGTGGCGGGTCTCGGGCCGGCGTCAAAGACGGTTTTTTTTGAGGCCGCTGAAGCTGGCCCAAGGGGATCCATAGCGGTAAACTTCCAGCTGTACGTAGATGAAGGTATGAGTGTCTGTATTGCAAGTCTCTTGGTGTGAAGCAAAAGCTGGCGTGGTAGAGGAAAGAAAGTACCTAATGAGCAGGCTAGGCTGAAGGGGAAGAAGCAGGTGACCTATATCAAAGTCCGTGGCCCTGCTCTGTGTAACAGTCAGCTTTCACGCATAATCAGCTGTCATCCTCCAATTACATGTCTTCGCCTGATATGGGCCATAGAAAAGGCGCCAACTGCTAGCCCGTCATAAGCCTGGTCTCTCTCTGCTGAGCCTTGTCCAACAGAAACGGTTCCAGCCCCGCTTTTGCGCATGATATTTATAGCCAGCTGCAGGCACAACCCAAGCTTCATATTCTTGAGCCATCACTGTAAAGAAGACAGAAAACTCGACCAGAACACCTGATTCCTCGAAAACTCGATCGAACGCTTTCCACGGCAAGAAAGGCGGCGACTGAAGTGAATATCACGAATCCGGACGAGGCTTTCAACAGGTTCAACGAGATTATCGCTCCAAACTTTAGCTTAATCACAGGTCGGAGGTTGAATCAGGCACGCATAAAAAACATCAGCGGTGATGATGCAGGCAGTGATGTAAGGTACAGTATTGAGCTGGCCGACTCATTTTCCGACACTGCCCCACTGTTAATCCCCAGGAAATCCAGCAACGAAAGCAACAACAGCGCGTATGAGGATGAAAATCTGCTGTTCCGCGGGAAGATTGCCAGCAATATCCATGGGACGCTGTTTAGACCAAAAGAGCTGGTTTACATCAAACGAACTCCTATATCATGGGCCAGGATTGTTGAAGATGAATTAGTCTTGGTCACCGACGTCAGGGCTACGAGTGAAGATGATGGCGGCGGTGATGTGAACAGCAACATCTATGACAAACCCACACATGTTTTGCAATGTGTACGGGCATGTCACAACGGCCGCTGCTTCAGTCTTACCAAGCACTCCATGGAGATCGGTTCTTCGTCTCAAGAGATCCTAAGTCTCACCGCAGAAGACCTGGGGGTGATACCAATGAGGCTGCTTCCTGCAGCCGAAAGACAGGATATCCACACAAGACTCCTTTCTCGGGGAGAGAAATACCGCAGAATTTGCGAGCGCCCACATGTCATCATGCAATACGAAGGTCCAGTGATCCCGCTAAATCAGGGGACCGATCGGACTTGGATGGTCAGCTACGTTGGTACGAGTCCTTGTTTATCACTCATTGCTGACCGTGTCATAGAAAAATCAAAGAGTCGTGGTTGACGGGATGGCCGCCCAAAAGATGCGAGTCCATCATGCCAATAAAAGCTTTACTGCTTCACATCCAGGACAAGGTCTAAGTACTATCTTAGGCAGCGAAGGTCACTCAATGCCGGAATCGGATGGCGGTGACCCATCATCAAGTCAAGGTCAACATCTATTGAACGACGATGCTATGCCTGGCGCGAAGGGCAAACAAAAGTCTTCGGAGGATGAAACAACGAGGAAAGACTACGAATGGACTGATATCGACTATTTAACTTGTCCGCCGACACTGGTCGCCTTCTTGTTGGACGAGAACATGTGGGTCAACGTTCATGTTGAACACCTGACAGACATCGCTTGGCCTGAAACCCCCTTCGACCCACTCGAGCTGGAAATCGGGAAGAAGGAGTTGATCCAAAATCTCACACGCTGCTTCAAGACGACGAAAACAAGTGAGGGCTCTAATCAAGACGCAAGAGCAGGGCAGAGAGGAAACTTGATAATCCTGTTAAAAGGCCCTTCTGGAGTCGGCAAGACTTTGACAGCAGGTAATGATTCCCACCCCCATCCCAAGGAAGTACGAATCCGGAGAAAGCGCTGATTATCTCGCAGAAGTCGTCACCGAGTTAACGCAGCGTCCACTGTACCGCGTATCAGCTGGAGAGTTGAGCGTTGATTCTTCAGCTTTGGAAAAGCAACTGGGTGATATCTTCACCCTGTGTCGGCGTTGGAGAGCCGTCGTCTTGATTGACGAAGCCGATATGTTCTTGACGAAGAGGCGAGCATCAATGCCGGACCGAAATGCGGCGGTGACTGGTGGATCGATATAAGTTTCTGGCAGTGAGAAGCCACAATGATTTAGCAGACTGACAAGGCTTGCAGCTTTCCTTCGCTTGTTCCATACCTATGATGGATTGCTCTTCCTCACAAGCACATCCAAGGACATTGACACAGCCTTTTATGATCGAATCCATGCAACAATCGAGTACACTGAACTTGACGAAACTCAGCGAACGAACATCTGGCGTCGTCAACTCCAGCGCGCCATTGGCTCCCCCGAGGGACATCCTCCAAATTCTCCGTGGCCGGAGGCATGCCGGCTGTTGGGGAAAGTCGAAATCAATGGACGGGAGATTCGCAACATCGTCCGGACTGCCGAGCAGCTGGCTCTAGGTCTGTCAACGGAATTGGCAATGGAACACGTCGCGGCAGCCATGCGAAACTTCGGAGGCTCGGATAATGACGTTGAGTCCATCTGCGAGAAGTTGGAAATGTTAGAAGAAAAGGTCGGCGGGGGTCGTGGACTAGCATGTGATGACGATGTTGAACTTCAACATTGAATCAGTCAGAGGTCCGACGGGTTGCAATGACACACGGAACACACAAATGTTCCGCGTTCGTATGGCAGCTAGTATGACGATGATCGACCAGGAAAGCAATAGTGGGCTGCGAGGTACCTTGGCACTACCTCTTTGAGCTCGGCGGCATTTTGAGACGCTGGTAGTGCTGACTATGTGCCCACTCATGCGCATCAGGCCCCTGCGGTGTTCGAGCTTCAAAGAAGCTAAGTAATGCTTTAGGCTACGTAGCCAGGTAAATAGGATATTGGTACAGATTTTAAGTAGATGCCGTCCTCGTTGCCTGTCTGGCATGAGGAGGCTTGTCAAATATACGTAGTTCGGAGCTGGTTTCATCTTCTGCTGACTACCACGGTTGAAAATGTCTTCCACATTGGAGATCGCACTCGACAACCTCAAAAGAGCTGGACTAGGCGGAGCTGTTTCCACCCTCGACCAAGACGCCTACCAGACTCGGAATGCCTCATACTGGGCGCAGAGTGCTCAACTGAAGCCTTGGGCAATCGTCCAGCCGAGGTGCGCCGAGGAGGTTTCCAAGACTGTCCAGGCTCTTGTCGCGACACCAGAGTGCAACTTTGCGGTGCGAAGCGGGGGCCATACAGTCTGGCCGGGTGCCAGTAACATCCAGGACGGCATAACTATCGACCTTGGGCTGATGGCAAAGACACTATACAACCACGGAACGGAACTTGCTTCACTGCTTCCTGGAGGAAAGTGGACGGATGTTTACCATGAGGTTGAGAAACGTAAGAACAAACGGAACTCCACTCAACTTGATCTTTGCTGACTAGAGCAAACACGCAGATGGGAGGATGGTTGCTGGTGGCCGCGAAAACGCGGTCGGCATTGGCGGTCTTACAACGGGGGGCGGCAAAACATTCTACACCTGTCGGGTCGGATTCGCATGTGGTGAGTGGCATCCGGAATCGGAATGAGTGTTGACCTGAGCCAACAGACCAGGTCGTCAACTACGAAGTCGTCCTTGCCGACGGTAGCATCGTGCAGGCGAACAATCAGGAGAACTCCGACCTCTTCAGAGTCCTCAAAGGCGGCGGCAACAACTTTGGGATTGTGACGCGCTTCGACGTGTTGACATTTCCCTCGAAGGATATCTGGGAAGCGGAACTTGTACATGCCAAAGAGTCGGCCCCAAAAGTCGTTCACGCGCTGACCGACTTTGTTGGCAACCTCGAGGCTCACCCGGATGCTCATGTCCTGACAATGTGGATGTACCTGCCAAAGGCTGATGACCACTTCATCGAGAACCTATTGATGAGCCTGGACGGCGAGCAGGAGGCCAAATCCTTGAGCGAGTTTCTGGCTATACCTGGGCAGGTCAAATCCAAGACGACCACGATTGCGACCAAGATGGACACATTCGCGTTGCCAAAAGCTAGAGAGTAAGTTTTCCCTCACTCTCTCTGGAACGGTTGATTAAATTGGCCCGTCAGGCATACTTGGTTCACCACAACCTTCAAGAACGACCCGCGAATCATTCAAAAGGCGGCTGACGTCTTTGAGGGCCTCGTCAAGATGATGAAGGGCCAAGTCCCAGACCACGACTTCGCTTTCCAGATGGTTCTGCAGCCGCTTCCCGTATCATTCGGCAAACACTCGGCGATTCGTGGGGGCAACATGTTCGGACTCGAGCACATCAAGGATGACTGCGTGCTGCTGGTATTGACTGTAGAAGTGGCAACGCCGGGACTGCGGACGACTGTCGCGTTCTCGGCCCTCAAGGGAGCCATTGACGAAATCGAGGCTTAAGCCAAGTCAGTCGACGGCGACGTCAAGTTTCGCTACCTGAACTACTGTGACGCCTCGCAAGACCCGCTGGGCAGTTACGGCGAGGGGAACGTCCGCAAGATGCGCGAGGCTGCAGAAAAGTACGATCCAGCGGGGATTTTCCCAAAAAGAGTACCCGGTGGCTTCAAGATCTCAAAGGCGAACGTGGCATGAGGCCCAGATGGGGGCTGCTGTAACTCTGAGACCTATCGTCGCGTCGATGCTGTCGGCCTGCATGCGATGAAGCATATTTTGCGTAACTGGGAACCACTCGTGCTCCGGTTGCTCCAGGATGGTCATTCGTATCTGCCTCTCAGGACGGGAAGTTGCATGCGACGCGTTGATGCGTGTCGACGCCCTGCCGTCAGAGCCTGCTGATGGTGTTGTGAGAGTGTGAGACAGAGACGCATGAGAGGAGCGTGGTTGCCCCGCGTTGGCCCCGCATCGAAAGGGAATGCAGCTTCTGGTCACGTGAATTATGCACAGTACCTTCGTTAATGGTCCAAGCAACGTCCACGTCCTGCTGCATGCATGTCACCCTCCCGAGGCACATTTCAAGGCGGACTCCCGCTTCACATCTCCATGAGCACAAGCATCAGCAAACTCAAGTGATTTTGACTCAGGCTCATCGTAGCCTGCTGCGGATGCCTGGAACCTGCCTGGAGCCTGCCTCGAGAATGAGCTCATTGAGGCTGATATCTCCATCGCTGCACTGCAGATGGTGCCGCGATGTCCGAGACAAGACTCTTGCTGAGTGATCTCCGCCGGCCGACGCTTCGTTACCACCTCAAGCGGTGAGATCTTGATGCTCGCCGTGGGGTCACACGATCCAGACGGGCGGAACCGAGCAATTACATTGGCCTTAATATGACACAGACACAACAATCAGCTTCACAGCAAGCCATTGCAATTTGGCTGCAGCTAACCCTAGGTCTAGTGGTTTTCCTGAACCACAATGATGCTGGTGAGAGCAAGTCATACCATTCTATGCGGCTTATTGGCCGACATCCTACTCCAACCAGCGAGAAACACCTAACCATGCAGCTGCCAGCCCAATGGGCAAAATGAGGCTTGCCATATCTCCCTCCTCTCTCTACATGATTAAATACCCCGCGTTAGGTCGTGATGTCAAGTGCAAGGGCTTGAGGTCTACCGCTCTTCTCTACTCAACCCTCCCTCCTCCGTCAAGCCCCTCACCATGGCCGAGCTCCCCAGCGGCGTGGCGCCCTCCCTCAATGTGCCGGGCATTGTGAACCTCGGGTTCCAGCTGGCCAACAAGCTGAGCCTATACGGCCTGGGGACTAAGTCCCCAGACTCAGACGTTCGATGGCTTGTCGATGAAATCTTCGGCACAGCCTCAACCCTCGCTCAGCTTTGGGAATACCTCAGCACTGACAAACATGATACGTTTTCCGTCTACAAAGACGCCGGCCGCAGAGACGTTGAGGATCTCGCGGTCCGCTGCGGTAGGACTTATGTCACCATCATCCGCAGCGTCTACAGGGCCAGCTTGGCTGCCAAAGTCGTCGAGGGCGTCAACTTTGAGACGATCCGCGTCGAGGACTTGAAGGCGGCCAGACTCTGCGCCATCAACGCCAATATGAAGTGGAGCATGGTCGAGGACGCCTTTGAGACTGCTGAAAAGCAGTTGCAGTGGCTCTTCGCGAGCCTACTACTGCACATGCAAGTCTTTGACGTTGCTCGTCTCCAGATTAAGTCAGTAATCATTCTCGATAATCCCCAGTGGACGTGCTAATATAGACGTAGAGCTCCCAGAGCCCCAGGTAGCTTCGATGAGGAGCTTGCTTCAAGGGCATTGGCTAGCCGCCTCCTTCAGCAAAGGAACAAGAACGTCAAGACTCTCGTAGAGGACTACGAGAAGAAGGCGGACGAGCAGGCCAAGCGCGAAGCTCGAGCAGCCTACAAAGCTGCCAAGGCAGCCGAGGCTGCTGCAGAGGCTGAGGCCGCAAGCGTCTGCTCTGGTGATGACGTCGCATCGTGGAAGTCTGGAGAGACTGCCCAAGTCTCCAGGGCGCCTTCAATCTGCGGCGACAAGGTCGACGGAGAGAAGAAGACCGCTCCTGTTGAGGAATCCTTTGCGCCTCCTCCCCCTCCCCCTCCCGCCTTCATTGAGCCTCCTCCGCCTCCTCCAGTCATGGACTATCCACCACCGCCACCTCCCGAGCCCATCGACATCAAGCTTATGACGCCTAAGCGCCGCTTCCCAGCCAAGGTCTTCAACAGCATGGCCGAATGGATGCGCGGCCTCTTTGGCCGCGGTCTCCCGCCCCTGGACCACTTGGAGCTGGAAGCAAGCATCATCCACGGTGGGTATCAGCTCCATAGCAAGAAGAAGCCGCCAGTGTTGGCCTTCGAGCCGAAGACTCTACTCCGCCAGCTCAAGCGCGTTCTCCGCAAGGTTGGAGATACTCCCGGGGACCAGCTGATCGGCCTTGACGCCCAGTTCCGTCTGGCTGTCCAGAACGCCCCTCAGCGCGCGCAGAACAAGGACGGTCGCGTCAGGAACTTGATCGCCGTCGACACACGCGGCATGCCCGAGTTCATCGTCGCGTACATGTCGATGGAGCCCGCTCTGGAGCCTATTCACCTGACTGACTCCATTGGCCGTACCATCGTCATGCCGTATGAGCAGTGCCGAACTCTGAAGGTAAGCTCCGTCGCCCTTTGTTTGAAAGCAAGTATACTAAAATCTTAAAGGGAGCCCGTAACATCATCCACAACCGCTTCCGCGACATCAACAGAATGTGGCCGATGATCAGCCAGGGCGCCTTCGAGGTCGTCAACGAAGACGACGTCGTTGTCACCCCGGCAGCCTGGGAGAACACCGTGAAGCCAGGCGCCGTCCTCACGATGCGTCTCTCACCTTTTGCAGACAGCTCCGTCGGTCCGGAGTCCAAGACCTGGGCGGAGCCGTACATGGGCCCGCCCCCGCCTCCGCCGGGCATGTATCCCCCGCCCCCGGGCTTTCGACCACCACACATGGGTGGTATTCCTCCAGGCTTCCCGCGGCCGGGCGGCGGCGGCATGGCGCCGCCACCAGGCTGGCCAAGGGTCCCACGCCCCAGAGTCATCAAAGTCAGCCCCGCCCCCGTCCGTCGTCGCTACGGCCCGCGTGCACCGTCCTCGGTGCTGAGCTGGATGGCCGGCTCCACGAACACCACCGACCGGGAGCTCGAGGAGTGGAAGCTCGGCTTCGAGCTGGACTTTGGCGGCCCGGAGCCGACAAGGGAGAAGGACATGGACGAGCTGACGTGGAATAAGCTCGGCCTGCTCGTGGCGCAGTGGACCTATGCCACGGACACCGAGTTCAACACTGACTCGGGGACTATGCCATGGTACGATGATGCTGCGACGGCACGGTCTTCTAGTTCGGGTTCGTCTTCGTCCTCTTCGGATGAGATTGTGGATGATTGAAGGGGGAGGTTGAGATGAGGGGTCTCGGGGCTTTTGTATGGATCTGTTTCCTGTGTTGTGCTGCGGGATGTCCATTCCTTTCTTTCTTTTCTACGATTACCATACGTTGTCACGATATTGATGAAGATTGTAATTTCTACATACGTTGTATTAGTGTTGCAATGAAGGTTACAGTTCATTCTCGAACACTCACTGAACATGCAGTGCCGCAACATCCATCAATGCGTAGAAAATACCACGACCAGAAGAAATTTAGGGCTCTTTATCAAGGCGTCCACGCGACGGTGTTGTACTCGAAGCCACAGGTCCTGGCTGCAACCTGTTGCAAGTTCCTATCAACCCGGTGTGCCTCGTTGGCAAAGCTCTGCACCCGAGGAGATTAGCAAATACGTTCGATGATTTCGATTATTCCTTCCTGTCCAAATCAGACCCTTCCTTGTCGTCTTTTCAAAAGTGAGTTCTCGGCGTAAAGTCATGCGGGAGCTTGACGCAGGATTTCACCCAGAACTAGAAGACAACATATGATGATACATGATTAAACTGATATGGTGTCTGCGTATCTGAGACGGTGCCCAAATTTGCGAGAAAGTGAAGAACTTGAACCTTGGTCGTAGTGTATTTGCGCGTGTACGGCAGCGTTTTCTTCGCCAAATGCCCCTGGAGATACACATTCAATCTAACGTTTGGTAGCAAAGCACTTTCGAAAGCCACCCAGATGATTGGAGATAGTTGCCTCTGTGGCTCGTACCTCTCTAACGCTGCGTATCATCAGGCAATTTTAGAAGGGCATAACTGAACGTCCCACTAGACAGAGGGAGCGTCGTACTACGGCTTCAACCAATAGAAACGGGCCCCAATGCTTCACGTCGAGGGACACGGAACGCGCCGCGCTAGCTGCCATGCCAGTTGACTGACATCGTTTAACAGGCGGGCGGGTGGCATCAAAACCGTAAGTTCCAAACGAACACCAGTCTGTCTCGCAATGTCATTGGGGCTGGGGCTTTTTCCCCACGGGGGGATGTTCCGCGCTCCGCTGCGGGAAGGCGCTAACCACACACGAAGCAAAATGAGCCCGCCCCCAGCACAGTGTGAGCCCAGACAGAACAGCACCCGTTACTCCTCCGAGCATCCATTCGACAGACCCCGGCAAGACCACCTTTTTTTTCTGACCCCCTCTCGGCGCCGCGAGGCACTTGACAGCTTTTTTTTCTGCCGAAAAAGAGCAACGCGAGAGAGGGGTAAAAAATAAGAAGGATCGGGCCGTCGACTTACTCCTCCTCCCCAGAACCACCTCTAAATGGGAACAGACACCATCCCTCCCGACTTAGATTTTACACCATGCATAATTCTCACAATTTGCTTTCTGCTTTTTCACTGTCCTGTCGCAAAATTTAACAATATAAGTTGATTTTGCAGCAAGCAGCTTAATTTACAAGTACCTCTTGTCACTTCAAACTTCAATCAAATTCTCTCACAAGACTAACGTTGCACATACGCACCAGACTCTTCACGATGCGTGATCGTTTAGCCGAGCTTCTATTCCACATCCACACCAGTATTGCCTTTGCTATGCTGCTATTCGCAACGCAGGAGGGTAGACATGCATGGGTATCAGTGATCACCGTCGGGTACTTTACTTTTATAAAACCCCAGGCTACTGGCAACACAGCGATGCTAATTTTGAACGTGCCAGTGGCCTCATCACCTGGATACTCCTCAGTTTTTTTCCTTCTTGTTCATTTCAACGACTATCTACTCACGTGATTTACCGTTCCTGGTTAGGTCTGTTTTGCTAAGTGGCTAATTTTACAAAGGAGATTTCCATGGAGTGTCTTCGCAGTCCTTGGCCCCGTCGTCATCTGGGCCTCTGTCGCTAGTGCCAAAGAAGTCGATTTCTACTATGCCGGTCTTCTATCTCCAGTCTGGATCGCTATTGGCCTGAACGCCTTAGTTATACATGATCGCAAAAACAGCCATAACTTTCGACGACTCGGGTTGAAAGATGAAGGTGATCTGGAAACTGGGTATCAGCCTGCGACTGAACTAAATGCCACCTCCTCGAGATCAGGTCGAGTGCGAACACAAGACATGCAAGCACACCGGAGGGACACTTGGGTGTTTTTGGGAAGCATGTTTTCGCACGAAAAACTCCGGAGAAAGAAAAGAAATTAGCGTTGTCTTTCTCCAAGCCAGCTAGCTTTCTACATCCTCACCTGCCGACCCGGAACCTCAGACCTCACTCTTCTTCACAGAGACCACCGGGTCCCTTTTTATCCTTGCGTGCTCTTCTGTTTGAGGCTCTCTTTCAATTTGCGAATCCACTGTAAGGGAGCTTGATTTCCAGCTCTCTAGTACGGGTGTAGACCACCATATGTATTGGCTGGAGTTGAAATCCTCAGGAACATAGACACTGCGTGGAACCCAAGCAATTGATAGCGAACATGGCACGAGTTTCGACTGAGAGCCCAGGCGTAAAACCTCCATTATCGACGACTGGGGTCCACGCCAGCGGCCACTAACACTAAGCGCCTGGGGCGCCTGCTTTACCTACAGTAACTGCCCATATCAAGATGTACCTAAAAATGGGCGCTCAAACTGAGTAAATGAATTTACAACGTTACCTGCTTGTATTTCATATTATACTAATATTTCTTTCCTGATATTATGTCTAAAAGTGTTTGTAGAGCACTGGACTATGGATAATAGACTTTGGGCGTTGACTGACACAGACATCGGATCGGGCCCGGGAGAGTGGGGTCATAATTTGGGGGTTGCCGGACGGGTGCTAATGGTGCACCGTACATCGGAGCGCAGGCCAAAACACCTTTGCAGCATCACCCCACGGCGAAGTTGGATTAATGGGCAATGATCCTGTGATAGCCATGAAGCATTTCTATGTTCATTAGCTCTTTGATAGCCTTCCATAGTTCATTCAAACAGCTGAGGCCCTGAGGGAAAGACTTCAGGAGTTGCTGATGCTCCAATTCAATCGTTCCAAAGAAAGGTCGCATGATGCATAGCATTGACCTCATGTCGATGAAGATGCAGTATCTTTCAACAAGAATCTCTGACGAGACCTATGGCGAAAATCACACTGGCTCACGTCTATTGTTGCTTCCGGGTGAGCTTACGCTAGTGGCCGCCGTGCGGCCCTCTTTTTACGGCGCCCAGTTTAGTGCAGTTCTGGTAGCACGCTAGTGAAGAGATGACAAGTCAGACAGGATCTGTGATGTCGCCGGCTCCCCGGGTTTTTGGGTGCGCTCAGCGGGGCTGGGGCCGCAGCGGCAACGCCTTCGCCACTGGTGACACCGATCATTTTTGCAACGGCATCTGCAGCACTGGAATCAATAACCACTGCTGGCTTTAAACGCGGTGTGCTGCACAGGTCGTAGTCTGGTGCATTGTTTGTTTTCATGGGCCAAGTACTTTTCACGATCTCCCATGAGAACGCAGTCAAAAGATTGCCAAACAAGCCAGATCAAAGCAGACCAGATCATCGGTCCAAGGTGTCCATCAGAACTAAGAAGGAGGGGTCCTGCTAGACATGAATCTCGAGCATGCGGTGTGGGTGAAGGACGCAGTCCGATCCATAACGTGTGTTGCCTGGAAGTGGAAGAATTAATTGCATGACCTGACATCCGTGGGCCCCGGCCCCGGCCCCGGAGCGCAGCACTCACAGTGGGACCGAAGATGTGGTTCATCAGCATTTTACGGAATTAAGCTTCCCCTGTTCCCTGAAAGATGAGAATGACACTAGCATGGTCATCACGCATGTCTCTTAGTACGTATTCTTACACGACGCTCAACGATTGGCTTCAGGTCCTGCAAGAATGCCTTGCGATCTGCCGTCGCGCCTATGACTCCTCAGAAACGCGAGCATATACAAAAAGAAGGAGAGCCATCTACAAGTTTTGCTCTCATGTGTCATCCAACTCACCCTCGGCCTCCTCTGGCAAGGCCGATTGAGCGCTATGATTGGCCTTGTACGGGTAGGTATGAGGTACTAATTGCAAGCTTCCCTCAAGGTGTCTGAAGTGAAGTCTTCTCACGCTTAGCCAGCCACAGTGAAGAAGTCTGCATAGTCACCAGCGGAACGACTTGAACGCCTATCTCGGCCCATCAAACGTTGAAAGGAACATGTGGTGAGTATCTATATTACTAATAGGGAATGAGTTCCCTCGTTTTGTGTGTGTAAACATCTTGTGTGCGGCGTAAATATCAGTCGGCCATGTTCTCCTCGATGATACACCAGTACACCAAGGTAATTCATCATTGCGTGGGCGGTATGAGGTACAGACTACCTACGTAGTTATCATGGCGGGGCATGAGCTCTCCGTTTTCAGAGCTTCAATAGCAGGGCTCGAACAGCGACGCGGCATAAGGAAGGACAGGAGGCTGTAGCTTTCTAGGGTTTAGGTGCCATGGGATCCAATGGTAAAAGAACAGCTCATCTGGTAAACTATACAGAATAGGGAACAAAACAAAAGAACAGCTCATCTGATGACCGGCGCTGCTTTTTTCCACCCAAGTGAACCATGCCCACACCTTTTTGCCCCCGTAAACCCATTACACTAAGTCACTTTGGGACCGTTTAGGAAGGCTTCTGGAAGGTCAAGGGAGCTTGGGGCGTCATCTGTTGACATGTAACCCAATTACGGCGTAGGTTAGTAGTACGTACGACTTTTATATTGGCCAACAACTCCAGTTGTCCTTTTGCAGCCTCACCAGCCTTGCTGCCGTCTATCTTAACAGGGGGAAACCCCATTGGCAGGCAACGCTGGGAGGGTAGGTTCGTCGAGCTCTAACACCAAAATCCCCCTGACGACGCCATGTTCACTTGCACCGGTCGGGGGATGCAATGGACCTCGCACTAAATCTGCGATGCGCAACGCCGCACATGCATTCCCGCCTTAGCTCCTGCGTCCAGCCAAGAAGACCGGCATTCCACCAGATTGTAGTTCAGCTGACAACTTGCAACCACCCTGAATGCGCGGTTAACCTGCGCTGGCCTGCGATGGTCGACGACATCAAAAGAACGGGTTTGCCCACTTGAGGTGGCGATATTCAATCTTTCCGCATCCTACGACTTACTCTCACTTTTCCCTTCTCTGGCTAGAAGGTGCTCATAATTCGTTTTCATCACGATTAAAAATCATCAACACCCGCGAACGCCGGTCTTTGCCCTGTGCCGCTTTCCAAAGTCCGCATCGAGGAACATCATCTTGACTCAACCCGAAGCCCCAGCACTGTCCACGACCAGCCGGCTCTTCAACTCAGAGCAAAGTCTTGCCATGCGCAACCAATACCGCGATCTTTTCTTCCATCTTCAAACCAGCGATGCCATCGCCATTCTATTTCTCGCAACCCAAGAGAACCGGCATAAGTGGGCGTCAGTGCTCACAGTGGGGTGCGTTGTTTAGATTCAGTTTATCGTTTCAATACGCTAACTTAGCTCATCGAAGTGGGCTAATAGTCTGGATACTCGTCTCATTCATCCTGCTCCTGGAGTTCAGAGATTACTTGATAGAGTAGGCTGTCCCATAGAACATCCTCAGTTGCGAATTCGAAAGCTGACTAGCACGTAGAAGGGCTCCCTGGACTGTCATCGCAATAATGATACCAGTTTCCATCTGGACCGCTATTTTCACTACCACGGGCGTCGACTTCTACTATGCCGGCTTGTTCACCCCTATTTGGATCACAATCGGCCTAGACATCCTCGCTATCTATGATAGCAAGCACCGCATCAAAGTTCAGAGACAAGCTTGGAAGGACAAGATCGACCTCGAGAGCGGGCCGCGCCATGTCACAGGTTCCGACAGCACCTCATCGAGACCCAGTCCTTTGCGCAACACTCAGGCCGTCCCTTCATCGACTACTCATGCTCGCTAGACGCAAGTTCGAGTTACGCTGTCACCTCCGCCCTGCCAATGTTCCCAGTTCTAGGAGTCATTTCGAGCTCTATACGACCGTCTCTGTCTTGGGTGCCGGTGTGTAGCTTTACTTGTTGCTGGCATCGCGGAATACTTCACCTCTGCTCGAACCTCCCGTACTTGGTTCAGTATCGAGCATATATACATGAAGTCATCTGCTGACACAGTCGAAAATCTTTTTGGAGTTCCATACTATCTTGTCTTCTGAATGTATTCTTCTTCGAAACCCTCTTTCAGTTGCCACAACTGCATGAAGGCATTTTTGCGCAAGGCAATTCTGTTAGAGATGCTGGTATGGGGTAATGCAAGCAAGGCGTGTAGGGAGTGTATATAGCGATGTGTTTATGATTGCGGATGGCTTTTAGGGTTATAAAACGGCATCATCAAGAGCATTATTTTCTCGGAATTCTCAGATCCTAGCACAAAAGAAAACCGTGTAGATACAAGGTGGGCGACAGATACAGTATACTGAGCTGCCCTTAGTATGCAGAAGTTTCCGTTTTTTTTTTTTTTTATCTGTGAACTACTCGATTTCAAATTGTTCAATGAGGATTTAGATGCTGAGAACAGGATTCCGGTGTTGACCGATACAGGTATCGGTTCGGGCCTGTTAAAGTGGGTACATCGTATTGGCGCCATCGGAGTAAGTTTGCCGTGCCCCAACACGACAGCCTTCAAGATCCTGACCACTCATAGGTGAGCGCCTTGGACCATCATAGCTGTCCTAAGACCAGTCTCCGTATGGTCCGCTATCGTTACATCCAAGGAGATTGATTTTAATTATGCAGGACTATTCACGCCCGTCTGGATCGGACCTGGTCTCCTCATTTTGGCCGTATACGATGGCAGGAGGTGCTACAGCCGCCTCGATGGAGCCGAGAAAGGTCAGGTCGACATCGAGAGAGGCATTCGCCGCCGGGGCTCCCATGGAGCTGAGACTGGCGGCGCCCCAGCAAACCGGAAACCTCAAGTTCTAAAGACAAATCATCCCTAGTCGAGAGATTTGCCCCAGGTTCCTCCCACGTCACAGACCGTTGCCGGAGTGGGTCGAACAACAGCAAGGTAGCCCGCCAACGTCGACCAGGCTGAAGTAGGTTTCGTCCCGAAAGTCAACGTTTCAACAATGAAATCGAAAGCGGGCCTTCAACTTACTAGGGTTCCTCATCAATATTCTCAGTGTCATCGGACGTTGTCGCACGAGCATCACGACTTCTTTTTGCCATCTCAGCATCCCTCGCGGTATCCCTCAAGGACAACGACATCACTGAATAGCACAAATCCCCCAGAAAACACACCATGCAAGCACTGGTATTGGAATGGAAACCACTTCTTTCCGGAACTCTTGCGGCATCGCCTTCTAGCATCGCATACGTACATGCTCACGTTTATATACTTAGCGTATCGCATGATGGCTAGCTCTGTGGCACAGCTTTTATCTCATGAACCCCCGAGACAGCTACGTCTATGGCAATGCGGCATGCCATTGAAAGATAAAGTCAACCGGGAGCCTTTACCAGCTTGTTTCGAACCTTGACTGTATCCAGTTCTTCGGACGGACTTAAAATAACTTGCCCCGTCGGTAGGAGGGCTCATATGTGTTCACCATTTCGCGCCACAACCTACCTTCGACTCGACGAGATCAAATAAATAGTACGGATCCCCCTCTACTTGTCATTCTCCTATCCATTAGCTTGAGAGTCGGCCATGACGCTCTCCGGACTTGACTTGAGGTGTTCGCGGGTTAAACAACAACGGTGATCAGTGGCTCAGTGTGCGGTTGGCACTTCAGCATGCTCTTAGGTCGACAGCCATACTGGGCAAAAGTACGAACAATAGAGCAGATTCAATGGCATAATCCTCTACTGTGACCCTTTAGACCATATTTTAGAGGCTATCTAGTACCATTGACTTGAGAAGTCGCAAATATAAGATCCCTCTCCGTCAAAATACCATGCCTCCGCTTTTCTCACCCTCTACACATTCGTATCATACACAGTTGCTCCGAGCCGGTCAACTGCCTTCCTCAAGACTGGTGGCCCGAGTCTCCAAGCATTCCGGCAGCAACTGGCTTTCCATAGCGAAGTTCGATGACGAAGAGAAACATTTCAAACTAGCTTCGATGACGGCAAAGAGGATAGACCGGCTTCATTGGCTGGCCTAACCAACACCCACTCATCAAGTACCTCACGCTTCCAACAGATGTATTTGAGAGGATATATCTAAATAATGTTCACCTGCATTGGCGATGTCCTGATTATCTTTTACTTATAGACAGGCGGAATGGAAGTCGTCTGGACGCGTTGATGGTGTGCTTATTCAGGGGCTGCAGCAGCAGGACAGCCATCGAACAGAGGCTAGTTGAAAACATAAAAGCATGCTACCTGAAATAAAAGAACCAAACAAAAAAGACTCGTCTGTTCCTGGTCTGCAAGAAAATTTATTTTCTTGGCCGGACTGCAAGCCGATTCAAGCTCCCTGGTGCGTACATCGTGCTCACTAACATTGGCGCCCTCCTCGAATATGGCAGCGACGACGACGTGGTCATGATCACACCACAGTCTGGCAACCACATAACACCAAAGTTTTCATATATGAAGGATTTTATTCTTCCACTAAGCTCCCGATCGAGAGGTAGTAGCCTCAGGTCCGCCTTGCAACTGCGAAGGTACTTTGACTTGAGACGTTAACCGCGTTCGAACGCATGTCTATTTCATACGTAATGTGAGAAGTATTGAGTCAGATGTTTCTTTTTGCAAGACAGGAAAACCGCTAAATACTCTCTGCCCGAAGACTATGCCTTGCGTGGTCTGCTGTGGGCTGAAGGCTACTGCTCGCCCGAGTGGTTTGGGGCATGTGCAACAGCCAATGAGGAACTTTGACCAAAAGAAAGTCTTGAAAGGGTATTGAAGCTGGTAGAATAAACATGTTCCATGTGGGTGACCGTCTACGCACGAAAAGAGTCCCGATGCACTCCCTCGCACGACTTATCAAGCAAGATATCAACCTGCGACCAGAAGCGCTAGACGATCGACTGTAAATCTAACATCAATATCTTTCCGTGAAACAGCAGAGACTATTAAAAAATGAAAACCCACAACCTAATACTGCAAAAACCCACCTCTTGGTCGATCCGCGAGCGCGACAACCCGACAACCCGACACCAGGCAACACAACACCCGCAGCCAGACTATAATCTGCACCAGCCGCATCCAGTCCCATCATCTACCTAACGCAACGCCTAAAAAAGTCCACTCATCACATTTTCCCGCCTAAACAACAGCCGCAGTATAGAACCGCTCATTGTAGAGAACACCTCCCCTCCGCCGGGCCACCACCGGACCTCCGTCCCGATCCCCGCTCCGTGGTCCCACTCGCTCCACATATTCCCCGCCAAGCCGTGCCCCCTCCGATCCCTTCCCGATCACCCATTCCCCCCGATGCAATACAACCGCCCAATCAAACCCCTCCATGTCTCCGAAACCCAAGTCCCCGGATCCCGCATATCCAAGAAATCCCAAGAAATTAAACCGCCGAAACCAACTTCAACCCAAAAAAATTGCCCAACTTCAATCAACGGCCGGCCAAGGCTTCCAAGTCGCTGGGCCAAGATAAGATAACCCACCCAAAGCCTACGTCGCGCCTAAGCCCAAGACCCGAAAAGGTCCCATGCTGACATTTCCTCGGCATATCTCTCGGGATGTGGGCGCCGGCTTGTCCAAAAGGGCGTAAGATGCAAGACGCAGGCTGAGGTCATGCCCAACCCGCACCGCACTACACTCTCGACCTCCCTTCTCCTCTGTCATCTCCCACCGGCAGGCGTGCGAAGGAGAAAAGCCTTGAAGCTGAATGGTGCGCCACGCCCTTGGCCCAACGGCCCTCCCACTCTGTTCGTGTAAGGCTCCAGCAAAGAAAACAATGACCCTCACCAAAAGTCCAGAATCCCCGCCGCCGCCGGCCCAAAATACAAATCCCCGAAGTCCCCGATCTTACTCAGACCGCAGACCCAGTACCATGTCTCTCCCCAGCCAACCAACAAGCAAGTACCATGTGAAATCTCACTGCATGCATCACGCTCTCGCACAACGAAGTGTACTACAAGAAATTTTGACAAATTTTACCCAATACTAATTCCCAAAGATATAGTTCGCCGTCCAGATCTAGATGCCATGCCACCCAAGTAGATACCAACAAACCCCATCATCATGAGAGGTGTCTTAAAGAAAAACTCCAGCTCATGCATGCATAACAGACTATTACTTTGTGGCTTGTTCAAAGCCCCAAATTGGCGAACATAACATCCCAAACGCCCGAATAACCCAATGAGATATGCTTTGCTTTATGTGCCCCAAATCATGTTCGCTTCCGTGGTCAACTATTAGCAAATGAATGCTGATGAGTGGATAGAAAAAAGCCTCCGCGGTGGTGTGAGTGAGGAGAGACCGTGTGTGGTGCGGGAAGGGCGGGCCAAGGCCCAGGGCAAAAATGAGCCATAAGCGCCCAAAGTGCCCCGGCCGGCACCGCGGTAGTGCGCAAATGGCTGTGCAACGCGACCGGTGGGAGAGGAGAGAACCCTAGTTTGCAAAAGGCCGAAGTGGGTGTACTGCCAGCCCTGCTGAAATGACGTTTGGGCTTGTGCCGGCCGGGCGTGGTGTGCTCGTGTTCCCGCTGTCAGTGTTTGTGGACGGAGCTAAGTGGACGCCACTGCAGCTGTCATTGCTGCCTATGTGTGCCATCTTCAGCCTCAGGATTCCTGTGAGAAAAGCCGTTTACAAGCCCGAGTCGTGCTTTGGGTAGAAGCTTGTCGGGTAGTAGTCCTTCCAGCCCTTGCAGGTGGGCTGGAGCTCCTCGAGCTGCATCGTGTGGGCGATCTCGTCCTTGCGCTCGAGGAACTGCACGCTGAGACCCATGCTGACATGCCAGGCGATGTGGCAATGCATGAGCCACGCGCCTGGGTTGTCCGTCTTGAAGGCGATCACCATCCAGCCGCTGGCAGGAAGCACGGCGACATCTCTGCGGATAGGGTTGTGGAAGTTGAGGTTGGGGTGAGTAGTGGTTGCATACGGTCCGGTGCCGTTGGTGACTGGCGGGTTGCTGTCGAGGAAGGAGCCGTCACCAATGCCGAGGAGGAGGAAGTCGTGACCGTGAAGGTGGATAGGATGGGGGAGGAGGTGGTCGTTCTGAATGACCCACCAGGTCCATTTGTCCTTGGAGTCGAGCTCCACAACGTTGGCTCTCTCCATGAAAGTGTAATTCTTCTCGGCGACGTAGGTGAGGGTGGGCTTGTCCCACTCGATATCCATAGAGTGACCATTGACAGTCCAGCGGAAGACCGGCTGGCCGTAGACTTCGGGTGTGGTGAGGTTTACGTCGAGAATGTTCTTGTGGGGAGTGAACTCTGAGGACGGCGGAAGTCTAGTGACGATCGGCTCGAAACCCACAGTATCGGCGCAGCCGGCCTCAATAGGGGTTCCTGCTTGGGTGGGAGGTCCATCGGCGGCGCCCTCATAAGTGAAGATGGAGGCAGGAAGAGCAACTTCGGACGTTCCGCAGAGCCCTGTGGCGCTGAGAGTCGCGTTGAACCAGTAGTTTTCAACCTCTTGGTTGGCCTCGATGATCACATCGTAGCGCTGACCGACGGACAGGAAGAGGCTGTCCTTGACGACGGGCTTGACGGGCACGAGATCGGTAGCGATGACAGTGAAGCTGTGGCCAGCCAGAGAGACAGTGAAAGTGTTGTCAACAGCGGTGTTGATCAGTCTGAGGCGATGCTTCTTGCCAGGCGTAAGCTTCGTCTTTTGGTACTCGCCGCCGCCCAAAGCATTAACGCCCTTTCCGTTGAAAAGAACGTTTTGGCTGTCTGGAGGAGGGCCAGCTAGGAGACCAGCGAGTTCGGCGCGTCGCTCGAGGTTATCAGCAGTGTCGTGGTACCAGTCGCTGATGACATAAGGACCGAGGTCAATATCGTAGTCAGCAGACG